GCCGCGGCGCCCGCGCCCCCAGCCCCCCCTTCCCACCCGCCGGCGGAGATGCCCCGGCCTGCGCCCCGCTCCGTCCCGCATCCCGGCTCGTGAGGGCTACGTGGTTCCCAGATCCCCTCCCGACTCTTCCCTGTCCGCACAAACGGCTGCTCCGGGGACTGCTCCGGGGACAGTGACCTGCGCTGGGCTGGCGCCCGCTGCCCGGGCGGGTGACGGAAAGCCCCAGAGCTGCCGGAGACTTTCCAAGCTGCCCGCAGAGCAGGCGTTGCGCAGAACTGCGCGGTTACCTGGTTTGGTACAACCACACAGTTACCACCTTCACGTTTGGGTTCTTAATTTCAATTTCTGTAGTTGCTTACAGAGAGCGAACTCCTCCTCGTCCCTGCAGTCACAGCTCGGGCAGGGAGTGCGGGGTTGCTGGTAGGAAAGAATAAACTCTAAATCCCAGTTTTCCCAGTGTAATACTGGATAGAGAGGGTTCTTTTCCTCTGGGTCTAGAAAAATGTGAGCAGAGCAGTTGACCGCCTTCCTCTTGCAGACGCTTTTGATAACGATTTGATGCACACAACCCTGAAAAACATTGTCGAGGGGAAGACGGTTGAGGTACCAACGTACGACTTCGTGACTCATTCGAGGTGGGTTTCGGTTGGGTGCGAGGTCTGGGGGAGCGGCTGGGGTGAGACCCGTGCTGCACCTCGCTCTGGTGTGTTGTCCGGGCAGGCTGGCAGAGACGACGGTGGTCTATCCCGCTGACGTCGTCCTCTTTGAGGGAATCCTGGTTTTCTACAATCAAGACATTCGGGACATGTTCCATCTCCGGCTCTTTGTCGACACAGATTCCGACGTCCGGCTGTCCCGCAGAGGTGAGGCGCTGCCGTCATGGAACAGCTCCTGTTCCTTCGCCGTCCCCTGCCACGTGGTAAGACGCGCGGGTGTTGTCTTCCCGCCCCAGTTCTGCGAGATATGAAGCGTGGGAGGGACCTGGAGCAGATCCTCACCCAGTACACCACCTTCGTCAAGCCTGCCTTTGAGGAGTTCTGCCTGCCGGTACTCGGCGCTTCGCCCGC